CAAAGAAGTGAGTGAGTTTAGTTTTACGCCGGTTTTAGCAATATTCCAGTAATATCACGGCGGGGGACACCAGGAATGGGCTTCACACATTGTGCCCATGTGGGGAATCGAATCCAGGTCTTGGCGTGACGAGCGAACGCTTTAACCACTAGGCTACCCCGAATCCGTCCCCATTATCAAAGAAGGGCGTTGGGGTAGCCTAGTGGTAAACGAGTTCGCTCGTCACGCGGTTTGATTCCCCGCATGGGTACAATGTGTGAAACCCATGTCTGGTGTCCCCCGCCGTGACATTGCAGTAATATTGCTAAAAGCGGCGTAAAACTAAACTCTCTCACTCATTATCAGTGACTATTGCATGGCCGGCTAAAATGGCAGGAACACCTCTCGCCTGGTAATGCGTGTCTACGAGCCGGGTGTCATGTCGTTAACTGCAGTCACAAGGCAGCCCACAAGCTCACTAATCATCTTAGATGGTTGTCGTAATGGCAGCTGCTGCAGCTGAACTTTGGTAAACGCGACCACACGGGTACGAGCGTTATATGAGGTGCAGTTATTGTGATGGATGAGCTGGGAAAGGAGTCACGGTATGGTCACTTGTTGTTACGACAACGCAGAGGTGGGTGAGTGAATATTGTTTAACACCGCATCATCAGTCTGGGTTTTTTCGAGGTGAGTGAGTGAGTCAGTGAGTGAGTGAGTGAGTATGGTTTAACGCCGCTTGTAGCAATATTCCTGCAATATCACGGCGGGGGACACCAGAAATGGGCTTCACACATTGTACCCATGTGGGGAATCGAACCCGGGTTGTCTGCGTGACGAGCGAACGCTTTAACCACTAGGCTACTCCACCGTCCCTTTTCGTGGTGAGCCGTCAGGCAATATGAGACTGCCTTACTCTCATTGTGCAATCTTAAATCATGTTATAGCTCGGGAGTAGCAGAGAGGTAGTCTAGAGGTTAAAGTGTTCGCACGTTACGCCGATGTCCCAGGTTCGATTCCCATGATCCAAATGTGTGATGGTGATTTCAGGTGTCCGGACTAGTGCTAAAAGCGGCGTAAAACCCGCTTCACTCGTTCACTCTAGCACGAAAATGTTCATTTTGTATGTTTCCCTAACATCAATACGGTTTGAAGACACATTCAAATATACTCATGCCAATAATGGTTGTCACCCCCCTCCCCACCCCAACCCCCTCACACACCCAACACCCCCTCTCCAATAAAAAAATTGAAGGGGGTGACAATCATTATTGGCATGAGTATACATTCCTTTCTGTTATCAGTTTTGTTTTTACTACAACTGCGTTTGTTTATAGCGAACGCGAGGACCAGCTGCTCGAGGTACCGCAAATCGCTATAGAGAGTTGCGTCCCTTGTGGACTCCAGAAACCTATGATTGTGGGTTCGAACCCAGGTTTGTCGTGCTTGTCGTCACTTCGAGTATTCTCCCGACATTAAGCTGACACGTAACGATTTATCTGTAATACTGTTAAAGCGGCGTAAAACTAAACTCACTCACGCTTACGTTTCTAATACAAATAACGTCAGGCATGTTTGCTCCAAGCCCCTCACCCAGCCATAGCCGACCTTGTCGAGAATACAACCGAAATACTGTTAAATGCGCTGTGTTCAACTTGAAGGGGCTTACGTAAATACTTCGAGTTATCCGATCTTCGACACAACTGATAGATAATTGATTAAAGAAATCTATCTTGCAGGAACCAAGTTTTTACTTCGTGACAACCATAATTTCGACACAGCAAAGGTATGACAATATATATTTGCTCATGACTGTCAATGCGCTGTATAAGCTTACTGACTCTTTCCTCGATCTATTTAGATGAATCTAATTTCAGCCCACATACGTTTTTCACATATTCCCCGCACGACGCAGTGCCATAAATGTCATTACGTAAAAACACATATAATACTCTCATTATGTATATTCAGAATATCGTGTTCTCTAATTAGAGCTCAGAAAAACAATACGTCAATAAGCTCGCGTATCTGATAATATATTTTCTGATATAGCTAGATGTTTATGACAAAGTATCTTCCAGGCCAACTCTCGCAAGTTACGCCACAGTGTGCAACGGCATTCGACGCCAACTGCATGGACTGGTTGTTGGAGTGTTGAACACGAAATACAGTATTGTGTCGACGTTAATGGACCAACGTAAATACTTCGAGTTATCCGAGGTTTAACACAACGTCAAGTAATGATTAAATACGCAAGGACCAAGCTTTTCTTCGACACAACCTTTAGTTCGACACAACGGTGTTCGTTGTGCACCATTCAAATATTGCAATTTTTTTAAAAGGTACGCCGTCAAATTGTGTGCATCTGTTGACATAGCAAAAGACAATATTATGCGAATCCCTGATGAGTGAATAAGAGAAGGTTACCATGTATCACACAATATCAGCGTGTGGCCAAGTATCAAACACTCCGTTAAAATGAGTGTATCTGGCCAAAACAGAAACGTATCTAGAAATCACGACCACGAATTGTTACCAGACGGATCTCACACGAGTATATGATACATCAGGCACTACGATCTGCTAAATCTAGACAGTATCCTGATTAAGCAGTAAGAAATAATAAAGGCCTCTCCTGGGTTGTTCAATCGATGTGTACATTCCTTCTGTGACCAAGCCAGAATTGTGTCCCTTGGGCACGCCAGAAACCGATGATTCCGGGTTCGAACCCCGGTTCCTCCCGATTATAGTTATCAACACCATACCATGCTCGTGGGTTCCCCCAAACTTTTTTTTTGTTACAGTTAGCTATGGATTCCTGGAAGGGACATTGTCGCGTTGTCGCATTGTCGCGTTGTCGCCCTCTCAAATACAAGCGAAATGAGGCAAAATTAACCAAAACGCGACACGCAACATTGCGACAACGCAACATTTCGCTCATTTGTCGCGATGTCGCGTTTTGGTTTATTTTGCCTCATTTTATTTGTTTTTGAGAGGGCGACAATGCGACAACGCAACAATGTCCCTTCTCGGATTCCATACTTAGCAGCATTCCAACAATATGGCGGTGGTCTGTAAATAGTCGAATCTGGACCAGACAATCCAGTGATTGACATCATGAGCATCTATCTACGGAAAGGGAAATACTGACATGCAACAACCAAGTCAACGAGCCTGATCACCAACTTAACAAGCAAAGGTGCAGCGAGCCTGATCAGCCCTGACCCCGTTAGTCGCCTCTTACGACAAGCAAAGGTTGCTGAAGATGACCAATTCTGACCCGGATCTTCACGGGTGACAAGTATGGGTTGCTGAAGACCAGCCCTGACCCGGATCTTCACGGGTGACAAGCATGGGTTTCTGAAGACCAGCCCTGACCCGGATCTTCACGGGTGACAAGTATGGGTTTCTGAAGACCAGCCCTGACCCGGATCTTCACGGGTGACAAGTATGGGTTGCTGAAGACCAGCCCTGACCCGGATCTTCACGGGTGCGGGGTTGCTGAAGACCAGCCCTATGGGTTTCACTGAAGACCAGACCCCTGACCCGGATCTTCACGGGTGACAAGCATGGGTTGCTGAAGACCAGCCCTGACCCGGATCTTCACGGGTGACAAGTATGGGTTGCTGGAGCCCTGACCTGGATCTTCACGGGTGACAAGAATGGGTTTCTGAAGACCAGCCCTGACCCCGGATCTTCACGGGTGACAAGAATGGGTTTCTGAAGACCAGCCCTGACCCGGATCTTCACGGGTGACAAGCATGGGTTGCTGAAGACCAGCCCTGACCCGGATCTTCACGGGTGACAAGCATGGGTTGCTGAAGACCAGCCCTGACCCGGATCTTCACGGGTGACAAGCATGGGTTGCTGAAGACCAGCCCTGACCCGGATCTTCACGGGTGTTAAGCATGGGTTCCTGAAGGCCAGCCCTGACCCGGATCTTCACGGGTGTTAAGCATGGGTTGCTGAAGGCCAGCCCTGACCCTGATCTTCACGGGTTTCACCAATGTAGTAAACCTGTAGGACCAGCATCACGTCCTCACCATTTGAAGTCTCCATGATTTAACGTGAAATGATCAGCTGAAAGAACATTAGGGTTTTCAATTACTCACGGCATAGGAACAGGCATTAAAAAATAATTAACGGAAGGAGGGTAAAAGATGAAAGTACAGTGACCTGATAGATGGGCGATTATCATCCTGTGTATCAGGGAGCCTATTAAAGCCATCTTTCAACTCTTTCACGCTCAGGATTACTGAGTTCCGTAGCCATTCATTAAAATATCTCACAGCAGTCGTACTGAAAATACCAGCCTTTCATCACAAACCGAGAGACACCGTTCTTCCTTCCAGCGCTTAAAGCTCAGATGAACTGATGGTTAGAGGAATAAATGGTCAAATTTTGCAAATTCTTATGGTATTTTGATCATCGCCTTGTCATTATAACCTCTGTCTTCTTCCGAGCCTCTTCCCCAACTAGTCTGAGTGGTCCTAGGGAGCTTATACAGTTCAAGAGAAGACATGCCATCTGGCCATAGGGCGAAATTAGTCCCGTCTCAATCAATCAATCAATTAATCAATTAATCAATCAGCCGTCACACCTGTTATACAATCGATGACCTAACGCTATCTGCAGCAGATAAATTATGCTACGAAGTTTTTTGCACTCACGTAAATTCCTTTGGGTACAAGGCAGTGGGTGTAATATAGAACCAAACAAGACGCTGGCGTGTGAATCATATCTCCCACCATGCGTGACATAATTCCTCCTTCATTTTAGGGATTTGCAGATAACCGACCCTATCTCATCATTGCAATCAGACTTGTCGCACTCACCAATACATCACGTGACCAGAAAGCGCGTGCATGTCAGTAATGAGGCTCGAGTGGCCAACTGATGCGCCCGCCCTTGCCGCCATCTTGTAGGATGCATCGCTATATATTGATTCGTGGCTGTATCACGTTTGTTGGAAAAATGGCGCAAGCGATTAGGGGAAAATCGAAGTAGAAAAACTCCATTATGTAATGCCGGCGGACCTCAACACAGTCGTCCGAGCAAGGCTAATCTCCAGTTCCTATCCCACTCGTTCGAGAATCCGGTTTGGCGAAGAACGCAACACCATCAATGACGATGGCGGAGTGTCAATGACAGCTTGGCCGCTGTTTGTGTTACCATAGTGACCGGTTTCCCTAGAGATGGGCTCGGACGACCGGGATGATTCTATAACTTTTATGTAAATACCAAACAGCAATGATGGAGTTTCCAGTCCTTGGATTGCTGTCGGATTCATGGATCGTACGTGAAGTGTCTGTCCTTGGTTAGCGACAGCACGACCAGAAGGATACGGTGATTGCCGAAAACAGTTCTTGTGGAATATGCACCGCTGTCGATCAATGGCCACACTAAGGTAGGAACCCTCTAACTCCGCGCGATCTCTGAGTCATTCTATCTGTCAACAAATCTGCTATTTCCTCCCATCTTATTCCAGCGTTCACGGCGTCATCAACTGCTACAGCTCCATGGTCGTGCCGTGTCTGTTGTATCGGTACTGAAAGTTGTACAACAGCGTAGCGGGAAACACCGTCCCTACTCGGGTCATTCCGAGACATGTGGTGGTGGATTCAGTTAGTTCCGATTGTAAACAAAAATTATCTCCGATTGCTTGGGGGTTTGACAGTGTGCCTCACGTTTGGAGTCGAAACGAAACACACGGTTAATGTCTATTGTATCAGTAACATGCATTTCAGGACAGAATCTATAAGATATGCCAGGGTTCTTTCAGCAGTAAGGTTTGTTTACACTCTCTTAGTTCCTTCTCTCAGTCCGAAGTTATGTCTCAGGCCTCCGCTGTAAAGACTGGAGGTATTTCATTCATGTCGGAACAACTAGCATCTCACCACATAGACAGCAAATATACACGCGCGCACGTTCACATTCATGACACGTGCTTTCAGTGCGTTATGTTATACAATTGAATCATCTATACAATTTCAAGATGAATTACAAAATCAGATCTTGAAATGTATGGTTTTAGGTTTTAATTTGATATATATTTGTGTCCGCCCGTAATAATTGAACTTACTATATATTACAATATAACATGTTTGTGCTATAGTATATTCCCGGTTTCCAGGATTGTGTCAATTGGTTGTAACAATTCCATGTAATATTGCAGGTGCCAATCACCTTGATCTCGTAACTAATAATCAGTTTTGGTTCGGTACTATAGACAAGTACGACACGATTCGCACAAAACATAGGTCAACAATTAATAGCGATTAAATAAATAACATTAATCATTATATTTCACGACTGTTGCATCGAGGTAGAGCCATTGCTGAAGATAGAGCCATTGCTGAAGGTAGAGAAAATGCTAAAGGTAGAGAAAATGCTAAAGGCAGATATAGTGCTGAAGTCAGAGCCATTGCGAAAGGGGGAAAATGTCAAACACCAGGGACGTAGGAACGGTTTTCAGAGCGGGGGCTAATTTATGAAAAGTATTGAAAATCAAAATGAAATTGTAATTACGGTAAGGTAGATATGTATTCGTCTTGAAAAAAGTGGGGGGCTAGGCCCCCTCAAGCCCCCCCTGTTCCTACGCCCCTGAACACGAAGAGCTAGAAACAGAAAGAAAATGCTAATATAGTACTATTTAAGTTATGTAGCACATCAGTGCATTGTATCAGAACGTTTAATGTTATGTCTGTGGATTACGACGGTAGAAAAATGGTCACCAAAGAGGATTTTATTAAGTTTAGTGAATAAATTGTATTTCAACTAAATATTCAATCGGATGTTTCAAGTCAGTCATTTAAATTTATCATGCTTACCTTCTTGAAAAATCACTGATTTTAAGTGACCCATTAATAAAATTTCCATCGCTATTTTGCTCATGGCGCTGTTTGCAATCTGTTTTTGTGGATAATCGGAACTGATTATTCTCCGGAGTTCATGCTTGGAATTGCTTTGGAGAGAGAATTGTAGATGGGGTCTGTTCTTTGCTACACAACATATTTTGACAAGTAACACAGCACCTATTGCCGTTTATAAATATAAAATCAGAAATACATTGGACGTATCTCCATCTTTTGAAAGGTTTTGTGTCGGTATGATGTGTTTTGCTAATATTATTTTGATCATTCCTACCAGAAGACTCAGAAATACATCGGTTGGTGACTTTACGTCGTTTCTAAATTGTCAGAGAAGCCAGATAGCCAGTGTTCGTGTTTGTAGATTTGTAAAGTAAAATTAATCAGTTTGTGTCAAACTACAGACTGCTCTCGCGTTGAGTTTGGTCGTATTCCTGCAGACTTTCAGTAGTTCAGCTGTTTGTCATTTCTTGCCCGATGATCGTTTTAAACTGTAGTCTAGACAACCAACAGATGTTTCACCAATTGTCACAATCACTAGATAAGTATCAACTCTTGCTGGAAACCATTAGTCGTTATTAACTTTCTCTTTGACTGGATGTTCTTGCAACACCACAAGGAGGTTTAAAGACGTTAAAAGTCTTTTTTCTTGGTTGCTTTTAACTGTTAAGTAGTTCGCAGTGTTGCATATCTGGGAATGATCATTTACAAACTCGGAGACGATGATGTACACGCTGATGAGGACGACAGATGCAACCAATGAGGCAGGATGCTCTAACCTCCACACCAACACCTTGTGCCGCCACTGTTTGCCAGTGATTAATAAGCATCTGTTCATGGTATAGACGCAAATGTACACCCGGCTCTGCTTTTATCAGTGTTTTTTATGGTTCATATATAATTCATTTACTTTGAATGGCGGAATGAATCAAGTATGTTTGGATCCAAATGATCGTTATCACCTAACTTCTTCTCAGACATGAGGTATTGGGTACTAATTTTTGTCTCCATTTCCATACGAAGAAATTATAGACATAGGGTACATTTTTTTCCGCGAAAGGGAGAGACCAACGGAATGGTACTGGGGACATGTCTGACTTCCATTCTTTTGAGGATATATGCTATCGATACACTGGGCCCGAAACTGTTAATCTGGCTAGTGTGAGTGTCATAATATGCTCGAAAAGACCTCACCGTTGTGGCATTATCGCATGGAGATTCTTGCTTGATCAGTTATCACACCTCTGTTGACGGCCCAAAGTTGGAACTCGCTGTGTGGACAACAGCATGCATCCTGTGGTATGTTAATGTCTCACTGTTAGGAGTTTGTCTAATCTCTTGTGACGCAGTGATGTTTGGATCAGCCTGCTCTGCTGCATTAATGGCACGAAACCCGATTCCACCGTTTCTGTTTTGTTTCGGCATTTATGTAAATATGAAGTGTGTGGACAGACTTGAATGTCATGTAATGATAAAATGTGTGTTAGAGCTGGTTATGGAGTAAAAAGACGTTTCTGAACAAGTTCGTAACTGTAACGACGTTTCATGGCTGCTGTTTGTCCTTATCACGTGAGGGTGGTGAGGTAGCCTTGTGGTTAAAGCGTTTGCTCGTGACGCCGAAGACCCGGGTTCGATTCCCCACATGGGTACAATATGTGAAGCCCATCTCTGGTGTCCCCCGCTGTGATATTGCTGGAATATTGCTAAAAGCGGCGTAAAACTAGGTTCACTCACTAATCCCTTATGAACGATGTAGATCAAAGTGTGGCTACGATATGACGCATATTTGCATCTGGAAAACTACTTTAGATGCGAGATGAGTGAAACTGGTGTTGCTTGAACTAGTGCGTATTATCACCATTTTTAGCGTTAGCCCAGTGTACCCTGCCGCCATTGTGACACGGATACAGTACTCAGACGCAAAGTACTGACTCCGAGCCAACCAGTCGTTGTTATCTCCCCTGAGTGTAGAACGGGGCCAAGGTAACACAAAGTTTCATTATTTAAAATATTTTGTTGTGACGCGGTCGGGATCGAACCCCCAACCTTCCTCTCTGGCCGACACTCTACCTTCTACACCACGAAGACGGCCAACTACTTCAGCCTTGCCACATTATATATCAAATCCGGTTAAAATAGAGCTCCGTTTCTCTCATAGCCCTAATACTCTTTGAACAATGAAACATTGCAAAGAAACGAGTTTCGATTCGAATTTTGTTTTTCGACACGACTCCACGTTTTTGTCAACACCGTGCCATTGATGGTGTATTGGATTTGCAGTGGCACCTAGCTGTGTGTTTACTATAGCCTCAAGCCTTTTCTGCTTTCCTCGGTGATAAATGATGTTCTTTTACCTTTGAAATGGAAGAAGTGTGTCGGAGCCCTCCTTTGCGCATGCGTGGTGATGGGGGAGCATTAGGGGAGTAGTTCTAAATCACTTCCGGTGAAGTGGACCCCGATGGAGACTTGTTGAGTGGAGTTTGGGTGACCCTGATTGTTTGATCTTGTTTATACAAAGTTTGGACGATTTGTTTTAAAATCTTTTTATTTTATATTGTTGATTTACCCGAGCCTAGAAAAGATTAAAATGCAGAAAGACCAGATGACCGATCAATGAAAAAACCGATGACCCAACCAAATTGATATTCTGTGATAAAAGCATCCATCATTTATCCATCTATCTTCCATCCATCCATCCGTCCATACATCCACTCATCCATCCACCCATCATCCATCGCCTCTAACCTGCATCCTCACGGACAACGCATATCGTTTGGCACTTACGACAAGTAACGGAGCGCATATACTAACCACGCGTCCCCACGAGGGACAAGCCATTCTTTTCCATATATAACGCGGCCGAGGATCGAACCTCCGGGTTGTCGCACAATCCACTAGGCCACGAGGCCACGGAGGCGACGCGTATGATGGGACGGTGGGGTAGCCGACGAGTGAAAGCGTTCGCTTGTCACGTCAAAGAAAAGGTTCGATTCCCGACAATGGTGTTCCTCCTTGATGTTGCTTGAATATTGCTAAAAGCGCCGTTAAACTATACTCACTCATTCACTCACTCACTCACGCACTCGCTCATGCACTCACTCACAGAGCTGACTCATCGATATCAGCCTCTTTAACATTTCAATGCGACATTTCGGCGAGGATGTTGTTTATCTTAAATTTGAAAAAAAATATGAAATCCTCAAGTCGAGTGTCTTTGTTCCCGCTAACGCGGTTACTGTGACAGACAAGCCTATGAATTACAAATGACGGTTCCGATATTGCGGCTAGTGAGCGAGTGTTGCGGAGTGTTGACACAGCGCTCCTGTGGGGAGTGTCTGATTGATAACTGGCAACGTGCACCGATTAGCAAAATGAACCTTTAACACAAAGAAATCTGCCATGATGACTAATTCCTGCAGAAACAGTTTTGATTTTTATCCGGGTTCATGATTAATATGAAACAAATAAAAAATCATTAATATGACATTTTCAGGATATATTAACTGATTAAACATTTTTAATCGCATTATCGAGTTTA